ATTTTCTCTCAATAAACAGTGCTTTTCCATGTTTTGCATTTTATATAGACAGTAAAGTGTGCTTGAGAGCTATTAAATTATATTGAAATTGATTAGGGTTGTGAGACAATTTTAAATTATTGTATATTTTTTTAATGATGCACTACACAGCATTATTAGAAAAATATCTTTTAAGAAATCGTAAACACACGATTTCAATTCGTTTAAACACAATAAAAACTTAATTCGCGACATTCTTTCTAGGTCTCGGGGGTAATTAAATTAACAAATATTTCACGCGAGAAAGATAATTTAATTACGTCACATACACTGTAAAAGTACGGTAAAGAGTATCCGTAGTCAGGATATCAGTACACTTTACCGTAAAATCTATGTTTACCGCAAAACGTCAGATACACTATAAAAGTACGGTAAAGAGTATCCGTAGTCAGGATATCAGTACACTTTACCGTAAAATCTATGTTTACCGTAAAACGTCAGATACACTATAAAAGTACGGTAAAGAGTATCCGTAGTCAGGATATCAGTACACTTTACCGTAAAATCTATGTTTACCGTAGAACGTCAGATACACTATAAAAGTACGGTAAAGAGTATCCGTAGTAAGGATATCAGTACACTTTACCGTAAAATCTATGTTTACCGTAAAACGTCAGATACACTCTAAAAGTACGGTAAAGAGTATCCGTAGTCAGGATATCAGTACATTTTACCGTAAAATTCATGTTTACTGTCAAATTTTTAATAAAAATCTTGATATACCACAATTTTTACACTAATATTTGCGTAAATTCATTGAATCATTGCAACTAAATAAATATTACCGTAAATATTTCGTTTCGTTATTGTAACAGTAATACTTATTACAAACTTACTGTAATGAAATGGTTTATACTGTACAAATTAAGGTATAAAACTTTACGGGTAAAAATGAAATTTAGGGTAAAATATATTTTACAGAAGCTGTATTCAGAATGCGTCAGTACTTATCATTGAAACTTGATCCGAATTTTTTTTAATACTGTTTAGAACAAAATGTCACAGTTACGAAGAGTTTAATGGCATAAAAACTCAACATAATCAAAATATACAAAGAGAACAAAAAAAAAGTCACAAAATAAAACTATCAAATATATCAAGATGAGAACATTTTTATATTCGATAGAAATTTAAAAAAAAAAATAATAAATTTTATATTAACAATGTACATGAAACAGTTTATAGCACAAATCTCGTTGAACTTGTAACATAAAACAGAATTAGGTTAACTAAAATTTGGGGTTTAACTATATTGTACAAAATTTAGGAGCTTACTGAAACAAATTATTGTTTATTTCTCTAGTCTGAATATTGTAGTTATAAGTTTAAGGAAAAAACACTCAATCATATTTTTTTAAAACTTGATTGAACGATATTCTATTTCAACTCAGACGGGAAAAGGGTTCGATTAAACGCCTTATTCAAGTTTCTGTAAATTTTCGTAATATTACAATTCAATCACTTTTTTCTGAATGTGTACAATGTTAAGAAAGCAAAAACCTTTAATTAAGTAGATCTAAAAACAAATATAATTTAAAAGCATTTTTCTATAGCATAATAATACTTCGATTCGAGGCATACTACGAAGAATACTTCGATTCGAAGCACACTACGAAGAATACTTCGATTCGAAGCATACTACGGAGAATACTTCGATTCGAAGCATACTACGGAGAATACTTCGAAGCATAACAATACTTCGATTAATATATGCAAAATAAGTATGTACAAGTAAATGTTGTTGAAACATTAAGGGAATAATGAGTATTTCTATTAAAGGAAACACGTATAAAGAGTTTGAAACTCAAATTGCTATAGAATATTTAAGCTTGAAATTATTTTAATACTTTTTCATTAAAGTATAGACGATTCTATTTTATTCAAATATTTTATAAATAACATTGGTGCTGTTCGGTAGCTAATATATCTATTTGATGATGAAATGAGTTTATTGCACGGTATTTAATATTTAATTAATTTTTATTCATTATGTGACTAAATTAAATTTTCTTCGTTATTATACTTAAATGAGGCAAAATACCTAACCATAATAACATAATAAACTATCTGAAATCAAGTGTTTTTTGTTTATGTACCTATAAAACGTGCTTCTATAAAACTAAACAATTTGAAATCAGCCATGATTGGAATGAAAAACAAGTTATGCAAAATTAATGAAAAAGTGATATAAATTTGTTTAAGATAACGCAATAAACCGTCAAACTATTATATATACCAAAGGTAATTAACTAATTTCAATAATATGTAATTGAAATTAAAATAAACTGTGTACTAAATAGCAAAAAAATTAACTACTTATTTAGCGGCAGAAATGATAGAGCATTAAATTTTAAGAAATCAGAATTAAAAGATCTTTTTTCCTCGACTTTTTAAAAATATTTTTAAAAAAAGTAAACTTGTTTTTAAAATTCTAATTATATTTATTTTTAAAATATCGGCTTTTTTTGCGATCACTGATAAATCTATTTTGCATAACATTCAAACGCTGCAGGTTATGCGATTGGTAGCAAATATATTATTATAGGTACAGAGTATTATTGGGATAGATTTGGTAATTATGAAACTGCACCAATTACTGAGTAGTTTCAATGAAGATATTATAGAAATAAATTTATTACGGCCCCTTAAAAGAGATATGTACCACAGGAAATAATTTAAAAGGGGTAAATTTTGACTTTCACGAGTTGGCCTCGAGTGACGGCGTCATTCCAAGCGATGCTGAAAACAATCTCGATTCTAATGGTATGGAATGCAAAAAGTGTTTTTCTAAATGTTATAACATAAAGGGCAGCAAATAATAATAACTCAATAAATAAATTGAATTATTTTAAATTTTTTAATTGTGTCTGTATATGATGCATTATTTTGTGCGATTTTGTTCATCAGTACTAAATTTCTTTACTTAGTACTGATGAACTATTCATTATTTTATTTTTATTTAGTATTTTCTTTTTTCATTTACCCAGTCCGAAGAATGGTTATTTAGCTTATTTATGGTATTAAAATGTGTAATATTATGATTGCACTTATGCCAAAGATTCTAGTTTATCAGCGTTTATCCTTTTTCTCTGTAAATGAACTTTAAAAGATATACCAACTAATTTTAATTGAAATAAAAAAAGTGCGATTATTAAACTCTTCATTAAAAATGGATCAAATTTGAATCAAATATCCGTTTCAGTTAGTAATCCTCTTAATTGCAAAAAAGTAAGTAAATAACTATAATATAATTTCTAAAATCAGAATTTAAAACGAACATTTTAGGAAATGTATTATTTTTGGAGTTAAAAACAATTGCAACAATACTATAACGTAAATAGAAATAGAAATTTCTCTTCTTTTTAAAATAAATTTATGAGAAAAATTTATAGATAGATTTAATGATAAATTTATAACATAGATTTGCAAGAAATTGATAGATTTATAGATCAAATAAATTTATAGGATAAATAATATAAGAAATAGATTAATTTAGACATATTTATAAGAAATTGAAATATAATTAAATTCTTAGCTTTTTATTATTATTAATGGAATGTAATAAGCATATTTTTTTTTGATATTGTGGCAAACAAAGCGTAACGCAAAACAAACAGAAGGTAAAAAAAAGTAGAGAAATTGTAAAATAGTTAATTTCCATGATTGAAAAACTACTAACAAATTTATAGTTAAAATAATTATTGCTATTTAAATTTTATAATATTAATATTAATAAATATTAATTATTTTTTATTATTACATACCCCCTTTTTATTTGTTATTTAAATTTGTGTGAAAAGAATTAAACTGCATGGAGAAAAGAATCGACACTATCAAATATGGTAAAATTTATTATGTTTCTGGGTCTAAGGGAACACCAAAAATCAAGGTAATTTTTGCAGAAGCGATTATTAATAAATTTTGGTAAAGTTAACTGTGAAATAACGCTTTATTACCATGCTGTTTGGTAGTAAATGTGGTAAAATTTGGCTACTTGAATTAAATCTATAAGCCTGGTATGAAAACCCTTTTTTCTGTTGAGTTTACTTCTCAGATATGTATTTTTAATAAGTGTGTGGAAATAAGAAAGATAATTCTTAAATCCTGAATTTTCATTTAACGTTTACCATTTGCATGGTTGAAATGCCATATATTCTGATTTAGTTCCAGAATTATGTATTTTTGTTACTAGAAATCTCATTACCATGCAATACAGTGCTTTATAGAATTTTTTTCTCTGTACTGTTTTAAACCAAAAAGTTACAAATAATGATTGTATCGAAAATAATTGATGAGGCTAAAGTTTTACAAATTTATTTATTTTTTTAATGAAAGCGAATTCTCATTATTCAAATCATTATGCTTCCGTTGATTTCCTTTAACATTTGACCGAAAAAGAATAAAAATATTTAAATTTTTTTTTAAATCAAATGTAACATCACGATATTATGTTTTATAAAATTACATGTAATTATGAAAAACAGGAAACTATGCTAAACTAGCCTCTTTCTAAACATATTTTTTACGTTTTAGTCCAGAAAAATTTAATTTTATTAAAATATTTACCAGGGAGAAATTTTTTGATTTAAATGCTGGCTTTTTAAAAATGAATAAAGCTTGTTTTACACCAAAAAGTTACAAATAACGAATTTTTTAAAAGAATTTACAAGGCTAAAAGTTTTAAAATGTTTAGAAATAGCTAATCTTTAAGAATGCGATCACAATTTTAAATTATGCAAAACACTATGTTTCAGTTTATCTTAAAAGCAAAAGTGAGTGAAATTAAATAACTAAATTTTTTCTTTGAAAAATGACCAAAACACTATTACAGATTTATAAAATTTAAATAAAAATAGGAACTATTTCACAACTAGTTTGTTTTAAAAATGATTTTATTTTTAACAAATAAAATATTTGTTTAAATATTTATATAGTTTTAGTAAAATTCTAAATGACCTCACCTTTTTATATGAAATTATCAGGAATACTTTTTTTAGAGTTGTTGAAAGTTCCACTCAAAGCTAAAAAACTGGAACGTCCCATTTTAGAGCTCAGAACACCGAATTCAAAGTTGTTCTATGAACTCAGATGATGTTGAGAGGAGTTGCCTTAGTTGTCAAGATTCATTCAATTGAGCGCCATCTGCTGGTCACAAGCTAAGTATTGCTGAATAAGTTAATACGGAAAAACTAAGGGCTCATTTATCTTTAAACTTTCAAAAGATTCATTAAAGAAATATGTTACAAATTTGTAATCCTAAGAGAGATAACAATTTTTTTTAATGAAAAAGCAAAACAAAGTTTAACAAATTATATATTTTTTTTACACTTTGATAATCAACGTCCTTTTGAAAATGGAATTATAGATCACAGAATTTTCGTACTACACCAAACTTAAACAATAGTAGTACATATTCAAAGAATTATTAAAATTAAAACGAGTCAATTTAATTTTTTTTTTAAATTTAAAACGAAAAACGTAGCTAAGATATTAATGAAATGAATTTGGTTTAGGAAACTAAGGAAAGCAAACTTCTTCAGGAGAGAATCATAAAACTATGAACCTTATTATTCGCGACTAGTACAATTGGGGTTCTCATGATTTGTGCTAAAAAAATCTACTTCTACTAGCTTAAGTAAAAATTAATGTTATACATATTTTTCAATATAAATTTTAGTGTTATTTACTTCTATAATAATTTACTATTTATAAAAACCCTTTTCATTTTAATTAAAATCTTTTTCATTTAATCTTATTGTCACATGCCTCTTCATATGACGTAATAAAATTTTTTCTGTAAAACATAACCTTACAGGGTTGTCGGAAGTATTTTTCTTTCATTATAAAAAGTATATGAATATTCTAATAAAATTGAAAATTTTGTATGAGTTTTTTATCTATAAAAATGCCACTTAGTTAAGCAAATACACTAAATTTCATTTGCAAAATTTAAAATTTCTTTACATTTTTCTAAGCAATGAAATTGGTTAAGTGAAAGTTAAATTTTTGCCACTTAGTTAAGCAAATACACTAAATTTCATTTGCAAAATTTAAAATTTCTTTGCATTTTTCTAAGCAATGAAATTGGTTTATTCAAAAATTAAAGTGGTACAAATTGATATTAGATTCATTTGATGTTCACAGTTTGAATTGAAAGAACTTTATCCGTTTTCTCTCATAACACTAGTGTTTTTTTTTTGTGTGTGTATGTGTGTTTTAAGAACTTAAGATACGTAAAGATATTTTTTGTATAAAAACTTTGTTAACGTAAAGTAAATCGAAATAATTTAAGTAAGTCATTTGAGGTTAATTTTATTATATTTCTTATCAAAATACAAAAAAATGTGTAAAATATACTCACATTAAAGTAAAATTTTACAACTAACACTTTATTTCGTTACATTCAAAGTGTAATTGGCAACAGGAAGAAAATAACAGCTTCAAAATTTTTATAGCTTAACAACTACTTAAAAAAAGACTCCCCACGTCAATCTGTGTATGAAATTTTAGCTTGATTGTCTATTATTTGTACGTCTAGTACAAAATTTGAAGTTTTGCAATTTTGATTTTTGCCATTTTGAAGTAATTTGAGAAATTGAAATAGTGAACTGCTTGATGATTTCCATTGATAGAACTACGTAACGATTTAAAATTATAATGCAAGTAGAACTTTTGCGAAGAAATTAATCAAATTTGTGCGTAAAAATGTTATTTTTTCAAACTTGTTTTCAATTTAGTATTATAAAGTAATGGTAAATAATAAGCAATTTATTTAATTAGCAATTTTAAAAAACAATATGTTTTAAACTTTTCTCAAATTACACAATTTATACTTTTGTAATATCAATTACGCATTCTCTGTCGTTTTTCTTCGAGAATTTTCCTTTTAATATCGTAATTTATACTTTACTTCTTATTTTTGTAATCTTTTTATACATTACTTTAAAGTGTCAATAATTTGCTATTAAACAAATTTGTCTGTGCATTACTTTTTTAATAATTAAAACTTTTCAAAATAAAAATGCATCCTAATATTGTTCTAATTTTTTATTGTTTTTATCATGCTTATTTTTTAATAAATCCATCAGTAAACTTAATAGAATTTGTTAGTTTGTTATATAAACCACAATAGAAAAGTTTATATCTGCGCATTTAAATTTTAGTTTATTCATAGTTTATTTCATAAATTTCATTTTAAATGTACACAGGTGAAAAACGTAAGTAAAAACACTAGCTTTTATGAGCATATAAGATATTCAGAAAACCCTTGGGATGTAATAGATAACGATATATGTCTATTCGATATCGTTGCAGCTGTTAGATCTATCAACATCAGCAAGAAAAATGGGTGAAAACATTTATCAAAAAAATAGCACTTCGGAAAAGGACTATATATCTATCAGCTGTTTTCTTTTCACTATTTTATGCTATAAAATATCAAAATATACAGAAATGTATTTTTAGTTGAAAAAAACATACTGGTTTGACTGTTTTTTTCAAATTAAAATTAAAAAAAGCAATGCTTTAGAATAGACTAACTTTATGAATTCAAATTTTTTTACTTTGTTTTGAAAAAAGAATTGTTTACGATACTGTATAAGCATCTAACAAAAAGTGTTTAAAATATAAAAATAGTTCATAAAATAGGTTTTACGGCCAAAGTGTAAGCTTGTATTAAAACGGTATATCTCTACATTTTTAAAAAACAAATAAATAAAAATTATTATTCATATTATTATTACTCTAGTTTTAACTAAAAAATGCCATTGTTTAGGATGACCTATGTTTTGCAATTAAATTATGTAAATATTGAAAATAATTTACATATTTCACTGAGATCAAAATTATGGTCCATACTATCAGAATATGATAAAATTTATCGTATTTATGGTCTATGGAAATTCCAAAGTGCGCAGCAATTTTTACCGAAGTGCTTTAGTAATGACTTTTGATAAAAATTAACAACAAAATAAGGTTTTTTTACCGAGCTGTTTAGAAGTAAATGTGGTAAAATATAGTAAATTAACCGTGATACCTTAGATCATGTTATGAAAATAATTTATTCGGACAAACTTACATTTTCAGTTTTGTATTTTTGTTTGATGTGTGGTAAAAAGCTCTAAAATTTTTTTATAACTGGAATTTTCTGTAAACTCTAACTAAACAATCAGAAAAATTGACAAATGAAGGATTTAAATACCGTATATTAAGATTTATCGCCAGAAGTTTATTTTTCTTCTCCAGAAATGTCATTACTATCCATTTGCAGTAATATTTCCACATGTTTTCGTATCGTGACTGCAAGAAAATATCATACACATTTATTCACTGTACTTAAACTTAATAAATACTTGTACTTAGGAAACTGATAGGATAATTGATAAAAGCTCAACTAATTTTGCTTATTAAAATAGGTAAAAGCATTATTATAAAAGTATAATTACCCTTTGGATTTCGAGTAGTTTAAAATGATATAAATTGAACTGATGTAAGTACTAAATCATTTCAAATACATAATACTGTATTTTTATATAATTTTTAAAATGCTTATAAAAATGGTTACTAATTAAGGTATAAAAATTTTTAATTTTTGACTGGTGATTGTTGATGGCGACTTTGGAGTGAAAATGTATTAAAGGTGAAAATTGCATTTTAAAAACTAATCCAGTTTCAGGCCGTGATTTTCAATAAATATATAAATGTAAAGTATATGGCAAAATTATGAAATTTTACTGCAGGCCAGTGCCAGTTGTAGCACATTTTTTACAAGGGCTACTTTTTAAAATATGTGGCAAGGTTTTCAAAACCTTACATTTTTTACTGATTAATTAAACTGTTAATTTAAATAATGTATAACATTAAATTTGAAGCATTTTTCGAATTTTTTTATAAGTTTAAAGTTTTCTTTGTTTTATGAGGAACACTTTTCAGAAGAAATCGTGAAATACATTAATTGTCAGAATGTTATTCAATATTTATAACACTTCTGTATGTATTAACAGAATAATGATAACATACACATGATAAAAACGTTTTTGACCAAAAAAAACCACGATCGGCTGGTGTGTGACAGACAATTCTTTAATTACCATTTCTAATTTAGTCACCGTTGTGATATGTGAAGACCGTTAATTTTGCATCAAAGGTGACTTTATGTTTGACTTCGAAAATAAAAAGCCCAAGACGTCTAACATTTCAGAAAAAAAAATTTGAATTAAATTGTAAAACAATAAAAGAATGAAATAAAAACAAAACCTACCCTTTGAAAAGAAAGTTATTACGATTGTGAATGCATCCTAATCTAGAGAGTGCATACAGAACTTTAAGCCGATTTAGAAATGACATACACTTTTGATTGCCATCGATGTAGTTCATTTTACAAAATTTTGACCATCTATCTTCCTTTATTTGAAAGAAAGCACAATATGTTTGATCTTCTATGAGCGGTAAAATGAAAAGAAATTGTGGTTTGTACATTTTCAAACAGCTCATTGCCAAACAAAGCAATTTATTTTGAAAGATCAAAAAAATTTGTCACATGTATATGAAGCGACTTTATGAAGAGAAGTGAAAAAATAAAATAAAACTAATTTTCGAATTAAACGGATTTTAAATTTTGGCCGCTATATTGGGATATGCAATTCAGCGCGGACATTCGAATGCGTATTAAAATAACACAACCCCTATAATAATATCTCATTCAAACTGGGTCTTATGTATAGTTCGTTATTATGGAAGGGTTCGTAGTGATTTAAATTATACTGAAGAATGTTGTTTGAATAATATAAGTATACAAATACAATTTTATAATTTTAATAATGCTAATATATTTTAAATATCTCAAGCTATTTAGATGATTTTTTTATATAATGATATATAGTAGAAATATATAAATGCAATTTATGTTTTTTAACGTTACTAATATATTTTAAATATCTCAAACCATTTCGATGGATTTTTTTGCTGAAAATAAGAATTTATTAATAAATTCATTATTTTATATTAGTACGAAATAAAATAAAATAAAATAAAAAAAAAACGTTTTTACTTTGCCTAAAATAATGCAAGTATACATTTATACTGA